GGTGACAATAATTAGCAACGTTGCGCACATTTTATATGGTCGACTTCAATGCGGTGCATAACACAATACTCAAGTTACGTCCATTGCTAGAAAAATGTAGGTCGTGTCCGATTTCAAAGCGCAATGGTACTTACACAACCCGAGCTACGCTGTGGCTGCTGTTCGGCTAATCAACAGCCTGAATGCAAACTTCACGATAAAAATATCCACGGGCAGAATTTAGCGAATGTCATGTGAAACAATGGAAAGAAAATCTCACAAGTAATTAATTAAAACAAGTACATATTTATACTTATAAGACTAGACCCAGCAAACGTTTTGCACTTTACCTCCACTTGCCAGATTTTTTTTATATCGAGATAAAAATTATCATATATTTTAAGATGTAGCAAACAATACATATTTACAGGGAAGAAAGGGATTGTTAGTAATGGTTCCATTACTAGCAATATACCTAAACAGGTCGACCACCGGAAACTATCCTGGAATCCATCGTGGTTAATTATTTCGGGATTCGTTACGTGGGCTAAAAGATTTCCTTTCATCCTTTTCTGGTGCCCCGCCAGCATATACTGATAACGCAGACGGAATTACCATTCAACCATAAAAAAAAAACATGTACAAAATTTCATAAAATTGGTTGAGGAGTTTCGAAGATTAGCGTAAACGAACGCCGTGACAGGTGGGTTTTACATACAAAAATTAAATTTAATATAATTAAGACTGGCAACGTTCTACAAACCTAGTTTTGTCCCTTACTACGACCAACTATTTCCAATAGACTTTAAAAAAGGAAGAGGTTCTCAAGGTTCTGAGGTTGTTTGTTACCTCATAACTCCGTTATTTATAAACCGGTTTGAAAAATTCTTTGTTTATTTAAAAAAAAAACAATCTTTCAGATTCGTCTCGCAGAAGTTTTATCAAAATCTGTTTAGTAATTTAGTTTTTAAATTAAAATAATCAATGGTTTGACCACGATTAAACTCAGTGTATTTTTTGTGAAATAACATCTAAATAATTAACTCTTACACTAAAATAATTAGTTCTTATTTACTTAACTTCATGTATATAATAAAGGTACACATGGCAGATATAACACCAACAACATTCTCTAACAGTCAATCATAGGGCAAAATTTGATGGCGGTACTTTCAAAATAAAATGGAAAAAAAAACTATCCTATTTGGTATACAGACATCTTGACATGGGATTTTTTTTAATATTTTCATCAAAGATATAAATGATAATTAACTTAAAATTATTATTTGCCAACCATTGCTTGTAAATTGCGAATCCAATAATTTTGATAGCTACGTATCTTTATTCCAATGTCACTAATACCACTTTGGAACAAGTGCGGCCGATAAGATAGTTTTACAATCCCCACAGTGATTGAAGTGCCTACTAGTGCAATGTCATAACATGATTAATATGGATTTGCAAAATTTTTTATTCAAAATATGGTGATGGATGAGTAAATTATCTTTATCCGTTTTAGGCGGGTCCGTCCGAGTATATTAGAATAAAAAGTAAACATTATGTGATTCTAGGGTGCAGTCTATCTTCATACCAAATTTCATTTAAACCCGTCTAGCTATTTATTAACCATTTAATAATAAACATCCAAACACAATTACAAAGTTTCATGTGTAATATTGACAGCATAAAGAACGGAGGGTATATTTTCTACTCCTATAGGTATATACCTTTTTTTATCATATTATTTTCTTAAATGTTTATTACAGTTTCTTCAATATAAATAAACAGCTATAAATATATGAATATAATAATTTTGTAAATAAGTCATTTCCAATAGGTATACTCGTATGTTTACCAAATTATCTAAATACACATACGAAGACTGGAAAATTTTTGATAAGACTATTTTTTAGAATGAGTGATAAACTATGTCAGAAATGTTTTTAAATCACTACAACATAGTATTTGTAAACACCAATTCTATCACATGACATACATTATTACCTACATAATTTATTGACTGGCGACTACTGTTAGCTAAATAATAACAAATGTTTTTTATTACATTATCCTATATATAGTAGTACACATATAATTTAAAATATATATGTACAAATAGACATATTATTCACCAAAGGATGAAAGTGATTGATTACTGCCGAGTTTATTGTTTAACGCCCAAGCTAAAGTCGAGGACTTCAAAACAAATTGGACGAGTTGGGAATCGAACTTTCTGCCCTGTGATATACTCGTATAATGCTTTATATCAATAGAATATTTTAACATAGCTCATTTATTTATTTTAAAGTTTATGATAAAGTTATTGCAACTCTTAAAAGCCCTAATACAATTGTATATAATAATTGGGCATTTATTTAAAATTGTCAGTATTAAAGTATATCAAAACTTTAAAACGCTCGTTTTTAAAACGCTATTATAACAATAATAAGTATGTAATAAATTATTGAAATGAATAAATTATCGTGAGATTATTTAATTATCGTATATTATTTCCATCTTATTTCCGTCATCTCATTTGCACTTTTAATACAATTACATATTGACTTTTTATTTTGCGCGCAATTATTATTGGTCTGACACAAGTAAACTGCACTTCTTTTAAAAATAAAAAAAAAATATATGAATTTCATAAAATATGTTTATATATATATATATATATATATATATATATATATATATATATATATATATAATATTTATATATATATATATAATATTTATTAAAAATGTATTGGTGAAATTACTGACTACCTATAACGGTACTTTTAGCTTTTAATAATATAAAAACAATGAATTCAGTTCGTAATTCCTTTTGAATTTTGAATCGATACCGTTTTGTTAAACTGTATTTATACAAATATCTTAAACGACACAAATAAAAAAATATTTCATCCAATAAAAAATATGTCACCGTAAACCTGATCGCTGCAAAACTGGATATCATTAATTAGCATCCATTTAATAGCTACTTGGACTATATTCCAGTAGATATTTTTAGAGACAATAAAGACAAACGTTGCGCGACGCCTCGTTACTACATCTGATGAAATAGAATTTATTGCGTTTATTTAGGTTCGTTCTAAATTCAACTTGTATTTTATTAAAATTTTGTGTATTTTGTGTCGCATTAAAAATTCCCAGGAAACTGAGTGAAAATTGAATATAGTACAGGGCCTAGTAGAATTTTATTATACCGAGTCCTGTAACATTAAAATATTAATCTGTTACACATATTCACATTAGAAATCCTTACTCAAATTATGCATGTGAAAGTGAGTTTGTTTATGACCTCTTGGTACCAATTGTAGCTTAACCATCGTCATGAAGATATATATATATATATATATATATATGGAGAAAATATATATATATATATATATATATATATATATATATATATATATATATATATATATATAATATATATATATATATATATATATATATATATATATATATATATATATATATATATATCCCGATCAATCAACATATCGTAGCTACGCTGACGAAATAACCAGGAAAAACTAGTGCTGCAATATATTAAATATATGTAAATGTTCAGTTAGTCCTTCCATACAGCATTGTAATGAAGAATATATCATTCTTTTCATTCCCGCGATGTCTTTGGGCTAAGAGCCGAAAAGGAGAACTGAGCAATATATTTCAGGGAAAGGAAACTTTAAATAAGACCTAATACCAAATTGAATACCCAGCACGATAATAGTAGGGTAATGTCTAAGCGGCGACACTGAAAGCAGTGAAACTGAATGTATGGATGAATGGATAAAAGGTTCCGTGTTTATCCGGTGATCAAACGCAAGTCGTCACTGACTTTGAACACTCTGCGCGCAATAATACGCTTAATTTAGCTTCAGTTCAGCGGCCTAGAAACGCTTGACGCCAAAGGGCGACACCCACATACGAATAGTAGTAGTTCATCGTTAAAGATATTAATGTTCTTTCTCTCATTTCTCATCAATGGATTACATTATAGAAACATGTGAGTGATACTGGTTATATAAATAAAAATCTAAAAAAATATTATTTTTTAAAAATCAAATAAACTCATGCCATTTTAATTAGAGATATAATCATTGGCAATTGTAAAATAAACAGACTGACAATCAAAATTATAATCAACCAGAGTTTTCCTTGGTTACAAGACAATAAATTATACATACGTGACTAACGATTGCTAAAATATATACATTTCATAAAATCCTTACTCAAACTATAAAATTCTTATAGAATTGTCCGATAATAAATTTATGCAGAAGACAATCACTATTTTAGTCGGAAATTAGATTTATTATTATAACAAATCTCTTAAACTAAATTGATTATTATCATTTTAGTGCAATATTTAGACATAAAATACCAAGAAAAATCCAATTTACAAGCGCAAATAAAAAATTATTTATACAAATACACAAGTACTCATTATGCTAAAGTCATGATTTATCATTACAGAAACGTTAAAAGGGCTCTGTAGAAATAAAAGGTAGATCGAAGTTAGAGAAATGGTATGTGGGGTCACGGACGCACGCTCGATTTCACTTCACTTTGGTATCTGTGCAACTCGGTGTGCACTTTGTGGAACAACTTCAACTTTGTTTCTAGTATGTTTGATAAAATGTTTGTTAAATTGGTAAATGATATTTATTTTATTAGCCTACGATTGCAATTCACTTTAAGTTTCATATATATGCGCATTTCGAATTAAGATTTTGATTTGGACTAAATTTTAAACAGTAACATTGACGGTAGCCATAAGAAAATAATAAGTATCAAAACAAATCTATTTACAAAACGATATTGATGAGTAATCTGACTGTTTTTAACTTTAACTTCTAATTCAAGATTAACGAAATAATATGCAAAATAATTACACACTTATAAATACTCGTGTACCTTAGAACACTATTTGGTAATGCCACTATGATATATATGGGGATTGGTTTAAAACATCGCCATCACACAAATCACGGTGCTCTTACGGGTTGTGGCCAAGCACCGACCTCCTTTCCCTGCTGCACTGGCGCAACGAACAAACAGAATAACTCTAGACGAAGATGTCGACGCACGAAATCGTAGCGGAACCTGCGCGCGCGACTTTCACTGCGATTGTGCGCGTGCGCGTGTGCGTTGCGTGCGAGGCGCGCGGCGATTTGACTGCTACTGATGGGGCAGACACGTCGCCGCTGGTGGGGGCTGTACTATCGTCGTCATCTGATAATGATAACCCTCTGAAAATCACCCCGATGCCCCGGTCATCTATCTTTAAAGCAACGAGGCCCGTCAATCAGTCGTACATTTTTTATCTTAATCTGACACACATTTATATAAACAAATATGTATATTAAAGTAATTTGATTCATCTATCAACACTGCACAAAAATTTTATTGTAAGCAATTTGATCAAAATATTCAAAAATATGTGTGTCTCCATCCTTAATAAAAAAATAAGATCCTAAAGTCATCATATCAAGATATCAATTTTCGCTGCTGATTGTGGTCCTCTATAAATATAATAATCTAATAAATATATAGGAAGTCTATAGACGCCTGCGACACCCCTAGTGTTACAGACGTCGATAGGCTACAGTAACCGTTTATCATCAGCTGGATTGTATACTTGTTTATCACCTTCGTGATATATAAAAAAAAGTATAGACTGACTCAAGGTAGGCTTCACTGAACCTTAATGTGTTCATCAATTTTACTAAAGAACTTACGGACTTAAGATTCAAGCAAGCACTTCAGATCCAAAGACAATTTTAATTAAAAAAAAAAGCATTCGAAATTGAATATCTACATACAAAAAAAAATACGTAAAGTTAATTATAAACCTGTCAACATAATCCTACAACCTACACAAATACCTAACACGGCTTGTGGTTATTGTATTCAAATTATATACCTCATGTTACTATTGGTTACGTGAGCCGACACAATCGGTGCACTACCGCTCATAAAATTTCAAATTACTACGAATGGCGTGCCGCATAAATGCTGCAATTTACTAAGACTTATTGATTTAATACTAGTAATATTCTGAAAATAGAAAGCATCATTGTGTCATGCCATGTCACTAGGTCACTATATCTTGTATACAAGTCGCATATCATTCGAATTATTCTGCAAAAGAGGTCGGTGTTTGTCATTATCTATTTTGCAGCAATCGTATTTATAACCTATTTTTAAGCAACACTCAAAAGGAGGACGTTTCTAATTTGCCATTTTTTTGTTTGTATGTTATATTTTTAGTTAATAGGGTTTATTTCCGTTTTATTTTCACTTTATTTTGTCACTGGTATCACTGTTTTCTTTTTTCTGTTGGGTAAAATGTTCCATTATTTTAGTGACATGTTTCTATTATCTAAATAAGAGACTACTAAAATCAATAAATGTTTAATAATACTTTAAGTATAAAAGTGAGTTTGCTTGTTTCCTCTTCGTGTTTATTTATTCCAGTCTGCAGACTAAGTCGCGAATAAAAACTAGTATAGTACAGGTACTAAACGTTTCTGTTTCGAACAAAACCATCTAAAGCAAGTAACGAATCTCACATGTTAGAACAGTCAACGACCTCTATGTACTTATGTGGAACGTAAATGCTGCATGTGGGACAGTTTATTTACATCGTACATACTACTCAAATTACTAGGTCGATTTAAATTAATGAGGTGTCATTAAGTTCGACTTATCCGGTATCCTAGTCTACATAAACGTAAAGCAAACTCATCGATTTAATAATTTTTATTTATTATTATATAAGACGAAATCAAATTATTTATCATCCCTTATAAGGTTCAAAAAATAAGCAAGCTTGTGATGGTCCCCCCCTTTGCAACCCTGTGTACCCCTTTATAAAATAACTACCCTCTTAATAAACCTACACATGGAAAACCTACAAAGCCTAAGAAAAGCCTACGAAGGCTTACCCTAATGAAAATCTATGAAAATCTAATGAAACCCTACCCTAAAGAAAGGCCTAACACCCTCAATATAACCCCATACCTATATTGCCTTATATACCCCAAACACCCTATGAATCATATAACCTTTCAATAAACACATAATATTGAACAGATCTTTAGTAAAACACTTGATCATCTGGCCAGATAAATAAATGTGTGATCGTCTAGTAATGTAGGACCCGTTGTGTGTGTAATAACCAAAAGGTTCTTCAATTGGTATATGATAGGAGTTAAATAATGAAGATGATTGATAAATATTTAAGGATTAAGAATAATTAATGAATTATACTCATAATTCATGTAACAAGGAAGTTATGTTAATTTAATAGTAAATTACAGAATAACTGTAATAATAAAAAAAATGGGGGAGCGGTCGGGCCCCTCACACGCCCGGACCAGTGGAAGACTTTCCAACTATCTATAACTCTTCCTCCTAAAAGGTAGGGAAGGGTATTACTATTTATTAATGCACTCTGATGGTAATAAGGGAATGAGTATTCTCAGTTCCAAACCAAACATAAGTACATTTACTTCAACATTACAGTGGCTCCACCAGCCCCACGATGCTTCCAGTATAAATTAGTGTTTGCCAGAGGCAAACGGATCGGAACTGAAATCCCAGGATCACTCCGACACGAGAGCTTACTCATGGGCGATGACCCTTTCAGTCCTATATGGCGACATAGAGATCACCCACTAACAGTACGAAACTGTTTCCCAGCGTCACCCTGTTACGAGCTTACTCAATGGGGGTTTCCCTTCGGCTCCACAAGAGATCAGACCAAGAAGCGAGATCACCCAGACACCAGAACCTACTTTGTTGGGACATAACCCTTCGGCCCTATAATGTGACATTAGAGATCACCTGTGAAGACAGTCCGATAGAGATGAAGATTTGTGTGATAGGGGATACCTTCCACACCCTTGAATTGGCCAAGCCATATAATGTTGATAATTGCTATATCATAACATAGCATTGTCAATTTAATATTATTTACTTAATACCAAGAATACTCAAGGTTCAAGTTAAATCTGTTGATTAGGCCGGAGCCTAAAAACGAGTAGTCCAACCCATAGGTCGAGAGCTACTAAAAGTAATGAGTGCTATTGAATGAACTATAAGTCCAGTCAATTATATATAATATTATTGTTGATTAACCACATTGTGAATTAACCAATTATTTATTCAGAGAGATATATCTAAAGGAACTATAAGTCCTTTAAAAGACACTGATTAATCACAAGTTAACAACGTCTCGTGAAATAACCAGTTGGGTTTTCTATAAATTGAGGACACTAAGTCCAACAATCTATTATTGTGTTGAGAGTAATAGAGATCTTTTGTAATATTTGTAGAGGTTTGATTAATCACATTGTGAAATAATCAGATTAAATAATTATGTAGCTTTATAGAGAGGACTATAAGTCCTAATTGGTTGTTGTCATAAATACTGATAAATTACACATTAAAGTGCTAGGTCAATTATTATATATAGGTATATAGGAAGGACAATAAGTCCTATTTGTGTATGTTGTAGTAGTAGAGGCAATATATTGCATAATTATAATGTGAAAGATATAGATTAAATATATATTTGTATAGAAAGGACAGTAAGTCCCATACAATTATTGTAGCTGTACTATAGTTACACTATATCTACTTCCTTTTAGTGTCTTAGTAAACCTATTTACTAAGAGGATTTCTCAGATAAACAAGTGTTTTAGTGTTTAAATCATCATGATTAAATCCCTAAGAAATTAGGTCTTTAAATAATTATCATATCATTTAAGTGAAATTTCTCATATAAATAATTCCAATATTTCCCCTACAGTTATTATAAAATAACAGAAAATTATATAAATTTTCTATAGATTTAGATATAGAATCATAACGTGTATAATCTCCTTTTGTTTGACATCTGTCACACTAATGACGTATTGAATGACGTATTGATGTATTGAATTGAATTTTGATTATCTATCACAACTGTCAACGTAACAAATACTAGCATGTTTGTTTATTTGTATTTGTTTAATATAATTAATTATAAAATCATCATATATCAACCGTAATATATAACTAAATTATCAGTGACACAAACAATCATGGCTTACACCAGAAACAATTAATAGCATCCAGCAATGCTGCAGTTTTATATTCATATCAGTAGCCAAGCCCACCTTCAAATTCAAAAAATGAACAGAAGATTAGAAGTTTAACATTCTTATTGCAATTGTACTTGCAATAATATATACATACAGTACTAATTATCAAGAACATTCCTCAAATACATGTGTGGTGAAGATTTTCCCAATATGCTATCTATTTGATTTCTAGCCTATAATGTAAATTTATTAAAGAAGTGAATAATCAGTGTTAGTGTTTGCTTTATTAATATTTAAAGTAATTGTCCTAACTTGATATTAATAGGATAATATCTCCTTGGATACAGTCCGACATAAACATATAACTCAATAATAAAATTTATAAAATACTAATATTATATTTTACTACTTGTATATCTCCACACTACTCCCATAAAATATTCAAAACATGTATATTAAATATAAATCCAGTAAATATTCACTAATATTAACCCTGTCTGAACTTGTCTAGTCAATATAACATGAACAAACAACACACATACAAACCTTATCGCCAGGACAACTTCCTTTCTAAATATGAGTAAAATACATAACTCATACTTGTCATTTAATACTAATTTTATACTGTATCTCATACCTAGTTAAGAATAACTATAGTCAGAGAATCCTTTAGTACATTTATTACCATTAGGAAATAAATCCACACCCATAATATCAATATAATTAAATATTATTAAAAGCAGTAATATACAAAGAGTTGTTATTGTCAGCTTGCTCACTACAATAAAATCAATATTAAAGTTTATAATAAATCAAGACAAAATATCTATTTAAACAATACAGGCTTGTTTACCATAAACACCCCACAGTCACATGAATTTATCTAATAACACAATTAATAATGTATTAAAAGTATTACATTCACATAATATTACATGCATCAGTTAAACTGTTTCTTTGTACATCTGGTGTAAAACAAATCCCCACATGTAATCATGGGTAATTAGAAGTATACAAAAGAATTATTAGTTCAGTCGACCGAGCAATGGTATGAAAACATTTCACCATGGGACGTTAAGCATGCACAGAAATTCCAAA